TCAGCCCACCTCCATAGCACAGCAATCAAATAAACACCAACACACAGCACACCAGACTCATACACACAATCAATAAAACCCACAACAAACACTCCATACACACAATCCAAATAAAGCAACACACAGCAGACACTCAATACACACAATGCCAAATAAACACCCACACACACCACTCATACACCACAATCAAATAAACAAGCACAACACACACACACACTCATACACACAAATCAAATAAACACACACACACACTCATACACACAATCAAATAAACACACACACACACACTCATACACACAATCAAAAAAGCAGCCACACAGCACACTCATACACACAATCAAATAAACGACACAACAGCACACTCATACACACCCAATCCAAAATAAAGCACACAGCCACACACATATATGGTGGTGTGTGTTTGTGTGTTTTGTTTGATTTTGTGTGTGTTTGCCGCCGTGTGAGTATTTGCATGCATAAGTATAATGCTGCCCAGCTTGGCGTTTGGATGTCACAGCTTCACCACCTTTCTACGGGCAAGCAGCTTGAATCCCCTCCACTGACACTCCAACTCGAGGTCGCAAAGATAGATAGAGAGAGAGAGAAAGAAAGAGATAGAATAGGATGATACAGCAGTGAGAATAGATTAGATTAGATAGATAGAAGCGATAGATAGAGAGAGAGAGAAGAGACCGAGGATAGATAGACAAGATAGATAGATAGATAGTGAGAGAGAGAGAGAGAGAGAGAGAGAGAGAGAGAGGAGAAGAGAGAGGAGAAGAGACGAGAGAGAGAGAGAGAGAGAGAGACGAGAGAAGAGAGAGAAGAGAGAGAAGTGATTTTGCGATCTGCCAACTCGGAAATCGCAAAGATAGATACGAGAGATGAGAGAAAAAGGGAAAGAGATAGAGATAGATAGATAGATAGAGCACATACGATAGAATTTAGTGAGATAGATTAGATAATAGATAGATTAGATTTAGATAGATAGAAAGAGAGAGGAGAGAGAGAGAGAGAGAGAGAGAGAGAGAGAGAGAGAGAGAGAGAGAGAGAGGAGAGAGATAAGGTGATTTTGGGCGATCTGCCAACTCGGGATGCACAAAAGATAGATATGAGAGACGAGAGAAAGAAAGAGATAGATAGATAACATAAAGAGATAAGTATTAAGATTACGATAGGCAGATAGATAGATAGTGAGAGAGAGATATATATAGGATAGATAGATAGTGAGATATATATCATACTATATATATATACTCTATACGTATATATATGATATATATAGTATATACTACTATTATACCTATATATAACGATAGATAGATACGATAGATAGATAGATAAGATAAGAATAGAGAGAGAAGAAGAGAGAAGAGAGAGAGAGAGAGAGAGGAGAGGAAAGAGAGAGAGAGAGAGAAGAGAGGAAGAGAGAGAGAAGAGGAGAGAGAGAGAGAGAGAAGAGAGAGAGAGAGAGAGCAGGAAGAGAGAGAGAGAGAGAAGAGAGAAAAGAGAGAGAGAGAGAGAGAGAGAGAGAGGAGAGAGAAGAGAGAGAGAGAGAGAGAGAGAGAGAGAGAGAATACCAGAGAGAGAGACATAAAAGAGACTAGAAGAGAGAGATTCCCCTCAAGATTTGCAAGGTTATGCTCCCGTTCCTCGAGAAAAATTCGCTGTTTTTCTCTCCTTCTGTCCCCGGAGTTCGATTACGGAACCTCCAGGGCCATTGCAAGCCGGACTTCGCAATGGTGTTGTTGAATCTGGTGTTGTTGTTGGGCTATTTTCGCGAAGAGGTGGCATACACGCAACACAACAGCACACAACCACACCCACACACACACACACACACACACACACACCATATATCATATATAATATAGTATACTATATATAATTACTATATATATATTATGTATGCATATATATGAGCTATATAATATATATATATATATATATATACTACTAATATATATATATATATATACCTTATATATAACTATATAACTACGTATATATATATATATACAACATATATATACCATATATATATATATTACATATATGTATTATATTTATATATATATAATAATTATATATATACTAACTAATATATATATATATGATTATATACTATTTATATACTACTATAGTATAAAGTATGTATGACATGTATGTCATTTCATCTGGAACACTTCAACCCGCTTTTTTCTTCTTCGAATCAATTCAACCTCCCCCTCCCCCATCCCCTCCCTCCTCTCCCCCACCCCACCCATCTCTCCCTCTTCCACCCATCCCTCGCCGCCTAACCCTGCCCCCACCATCCCTCTCCCCACCCTCGCCTCCCACCCCCAAACCATTGACAAACGAACGGCACAAACACAACCGGCTCCCGTGTTTTTCCGAGGCGTCGCGTCCGCCCCCTCTTTTTTTTTTTTTTTTTTCCCGAGCGCTCTCTCTCTCTCTCTCTCTCTCTCTTGTTTTGATGATGGGCCTCCGCCGCTGCTGCCGCTGCCGCTGCTGCTGCCTGTCGGTGGCGGTGGTGGCGGTGGCGGCGGTGCTGCAGGTGCGACGGGGGGTTATAATGACCTCTCCTCTATGGACCTGCGCTTAATTGCTGGCCGCCTGCATTTGCGTTTCCAGGGACAGGTTCCGATCGCTTTATTGAACCTTCGGGGGGGTGGGGTGGGGTGGGGGTGGGGGAGGGGGAACTGGCGCTGTTTTGTTTGGATGGGTTTTTTTTTTCTCTCTCGTCCAATGGGATTCGATGTGTATGTTGTATAAGCGAATAAAAGGCGATTATTATCATAAGGAAAAGATCGGTTTTCTCTCGTTCAATGGGATTCGATCTCATGTATAAGCGAACAAGAGATCATTATCATAAGCAAAAGATCGGTTTTCTCTCATCCGATGGGATTCGATCTCATGTATAAGCGAACAAAAGATGAAAGATGATCATTATTATAAGGAAAAGAATGGGTTTCTCTCGTCCAATTGGATTCGATCTCATGTATAAGCGAACAAGAGACGATCATCATTATATGGAAACTCATCCAGTGGGATT